TGGCTCTGTCGCCCAGGCTGGAATGCAGTGACACCATCTTGGCTCACTGCAACCTTTGCCTCCTGGGCTCAAATGATCTTCCCACCTCAGCTCTCGAGTAGCTGGGACTGCAGGTGCATGCCACCACACCTGGCTAATTTTTGCATTTTTGTAGATACAGGATTTTGCCATGTTGTCCAGGTTGGTGTCAAACTCCTGGACTCAAACGATCACCCACCTTGGCCTCCTAAAGTGTTGGGACTACAGATGTGAGCCGCTATACCCAGCCTTGTTTTGTTTTTGAAGATGAGCTGAAGTTATCAGTGGAAAAGCGATTTGGAAACTATAAAATGCTATGCAGATTTGGGAATGTAATGGGGAATTAAGGACAAGACTAAGTTTTCTGGGAGTTTTTAAAAAGATTGTTCTCATGACTATGATTCTCAGAAAAGGTTTGAGGCTTATTGACTACATGGTTGATTTTCAATTTTTTATTCAAATAATTTTGCATTTGTTGTAACTCTTTCTTTTGCAGGTAACAGAAATACAATTCAGACTGACTAACTCGAGAGGCACTTTATTTACTGAAGTAACTAAAAAGCCTAGAAGTAGTTCTATTTTTAGACACAGCTACATACAGGGAATTAAATGATGTCATTAGGACTCACTGTCTCCCACTTTGGTTCTGCTTTCTTTGTATTGGTGTCATTTTTAAGCAGGCTTTCTTCCATGTAGTGGCAAAGAAAGATATCAGATTTGAATGTACATCCTACCAGCTTACTGAAAGATCCAACAGGTCGGGAGTGGTGGTTCAAGCCTATAATCTTAGCATTTTGGGAGGCCAAGGCAGGTGGATCACTTGAACCCAGGAGTTTGAGACCAGCTTGGGCAACATGAGGAAATCCCATCTCTACAAAAAATATAAAAATTAGCTGGGCCTGGTGGTGTGCACCTGTAGTCCGAGCTACTCAGGAGGCTGAGGTGGGAGGATTGCTTGAACCTGGGAGGTCAAGGCTGCAGCGAGCAAAGATCAGACCACTGTACTCCAGCCTGGGAGACAGAGCCAGACACTGTCTCAAAAAACAAACAAACAAACAAGCAAACAACAACAACAAAAAAACACCAAGAAAGATACAGCATAATACCTCTTTCTGATGGTGCTGGTGGTCCTGGGTATGCTTTTAGCTTGTGTCATATGCCCATCCTCAAGTAATCACTGTGGCCAGGAGAATATTGGCCTTTAATTGGTCAACAGAGTTTTATTCTACTCATGGAACCCAGGAGTCAGGGTCAGTTTCTCTGGAACCACGTGGATTGAGAGTAGGAAAGAGGTGGTTCCCTAAGGGAAGAAGATCAAGGTATATTTACAGAAAGAAAGATTTGGGAGGTAGGGAAATAGTTTTAAGTCAACAAAATTCATAGATGTTCACTACATAATTAAGCCATTTTGTTAAAAAAAAAAAAGAAGTTTGTTTTCAACATTTAACACTCAACAAAAGTAGAGTTCTACTTGAAGCAGCTATTACCAGGAGACCTGGACAGGGGATGGGGGGAGAGGAGGAGTCTACAGAGCATAATTTGAAAACTGCTAGACAGTTTATCTATTGAATATTTGCTTGAGGTGAAATGGTGCTTGATTCCTTTCTTCCCATCTTTCTGACATTTTATACTAGAGATTGTATTTTCCTTCTAATTGGGCAAAGGGTGGTAGGTAGCAGAGCCAGTCATTATCTGGGATTGAAGATGCCAAGAATTTTTCTTAGCCCCAACACCAAACTATGTTTTTTTTTTTTTTTTTTTTTTTTAAGAAGCCATGAGTCTTTCAAATTTAAATAGGGACTCATAGAGAATAGGAATAAGTTGCTTTATAATGTGTTGGTTAATGTAAGTGATGAAATGTGTTTGTATCCTTAGCATTTGGCAAGGACTCTATATGGTACAGTGTATAAGCTGTGAGCTGGATGGATTCTGTATTGTAAATTGAGTGAGGATGAAAGCTGCCCTCACATGCTATCCAGTTTACCAGACAGCCAACAACCATTTGATTTTTTAAAAAATTGAAGTAAAAATCACATAACAATTTGGTGGTGGCACAGGCCTGTAATCCCTGCTACTTGGGAGGCTGAGGTGGCAGGATCCCTTGAGCCCAAGAGTTCAAGACCAGCCTGGACAACATAGCAAGATTCAGTCTGTACAACACATTAAAAAATTAGTCAGTCATGATGGCATGCCTCTTTAGCCTGTTCTACTCGGAAGGCTAAGGTGAGAGGATTGCTTGAACCCAGGAGTTTGAGGCTGCACTAAGCTATGATTGTGCCAGTGTACTCCAGCCTGAGCAACAGAACAAGACCCCTGTCGCTTAAAAAAAAAATCACATAGCCGGGCGTGGTGGCTCACGCCTGTAATCCCAGCACTTTGGGAGTCCGACGCAGGTGGATCCTGATGTCAGGAGATCGAGACCATCCTGGCCATGGTAAAACCCTGTCTCTACTAAAATATAAAAAATTAGCTGCACGTGGTGTGTAGCTATAGTCCCAGCTACTCAGGAGGTTGAGGCAGGGGAATCGCTTGAATCTGGGAGATGGAGGTTGCAGTGAGCCAAGATCTCACCACTGCCCTCTAGCCTGGCGAAATAGCAAGACTCCATCTCAAAATTCACATAGCATAATACTTATTATTTTAAAGTGTACTTTTTTATGGCGGGGGAGAGATGAGGTCTTGTCATATTACTCAGGATGGTCTAAAACTCCTGCCTTCAAGCAATATTCCTGCCTCAGCCTCCCAAAGTCCTGTGATTATAGGCATGAGTCATTGTGCCCCACCCAATTTAGTGGTTTTCAACAATTTTGTGTAACCATCATTACTATTTAATTTCAGAATATTTTTATCACCCCAAAAAGAAACACTTAATGACCCATTAAGCAGTCATACTCCCTCTTCTCTATCCTCTGGCAACCATTAGTCTACTTTCTGTCTCTATAAATTTGCCTATTTTGAACATTTCATATAAATGGAATCATGTCTGGTTTCTTTCACTTAGTATGATGTTAATGTATATATTTATCTTCTTACTTTTCTATGACACTTTTTAGAAGTAGAATTATCCCACAGACTTACCAAGTGGTCATTTTCTCTATCCCCAAGTGTATAATTGGGATTGACAAACTCAGCAGTTAGAGTAGCACCCATATTGGATACTTGACTGTTGAATAAGAGGTGTCATAGTGGGGAAGGCTAAGTGGAAGCCTTGAAACTACCCCCTGCTCTCCTGGCCAAGACAGTGAATCAAACCTAATAACACCTTCTGGGACAGATGGTGGAGATTAGTGCTACTCTTAAGTATCTTTTTTTTTTTTTTTTGAGATGGAGCCTCACTCTGTTGCCCAGGCTGGAGTGCAATGGTGCAGTCTTGGCTCACTTCAACCTCCGCCTCCTGGATTCAGGTGATTATCCTGCCTCAGCTTCTCAAGTAGCTTAGATTACAGGCACCCGCCATCATGCCCAGCTAATTTTTGTCTTTTTAGTAGAGATGGGGTTTCACCATGTTAACTAGGCTGGTCTTGAACTCCTGACCTCAGATGATATGCCTGCCTTGTCCTCCCAAAGTTCTGGGATTACAGGCATGAGCCACTGCTCCTGGCCTACCCTTAAGTATCTTAAGATGCAGGATGTTGGTCTCATTTCCTATCTATATTTAATTCATTAGTCTTCCCCTGTAAAACTGGATTGATACAGAGAATGACTGGACTTCAGTAAGTTTAACTTAGTATCCCCAAATGTGGCTGCTATAATGGATTTGATAACTTTACTAGAGCAGGTTATACTATAATATTTGGCTGTTGATTTGGCAAATGAATTTTTTTCTGTTTCAATCAGAAAAAAGGATTAACAACCGTTTGTATTCATGGGAAACATATCAGTATTCCTTTATGGTTTTTCCCAGGGATATGTAAACAATTCTACTCTGTTCGTCATAATATAGTCAGAATTCTTGACCATCTGGCCATAGAATATCACTATGATATATTACATTGACAACATCATGCTAATGAGACTGCATTAACACACTGGAGGACTTGGTAAGATGTGTGTGCTCCACAGTGGATACTGTCACATTCTTTGCCAAACTGGATATATTTGGTTTAAAATATGTCCACAAATTCTTTGATATTCCTTCCATCAAGTGGTGGAGTCTAATTCCCCTCCCTTTGAGCTGGACCTAATAATTTCATTCTAACAAATGGAATAAAGTGAAAATGATAGTGTACAATTTCAGAAATTAGTTCATAAAAGGTACTACAGTTTCCTTCTTGTTTTCTCTCTGTCTCTTGGATCATTCACTCTTGAGAAGCCCATTAATATATTGTGAGGACACTCAAGAAGCCTATGGAAAAGGCCATGTTGAGAACTGGTATTTCCTGACAACAATCAGCATGGACTTGGTGGGAATGTGAGTGAGCCACCATGAAAGCAAATCCTCTAGCCCTGGTCAAGCCATCAGATGGCTATAGCCCTTTTAAAATGTTTATTGTTTTAAGCAACTAAATTTTGGGGGTCATTTGTTATGCAGTGATAGATAGTAATACACATTCCTACAAGCAGAATATGAGAATTCTATTTGTCTGACCTCCTTTTCAGCATCTAGCATTTCCCTATCTTTTTCATGTTAGCCATTCTGATGAGTGCACAGTGTTGTCACATTGTGGTTTAATTTGTTTTTCTGCTGTGACTAAAGTATACAACATCTTTTGATACATGTATGAATATCTACAGACACATATAGATATGTATATATTTAATATCTAGATTTATTATTTTGTGATAGTATTTGTTCAAGTTTTTTGCCCAATTTTCCATTAGGTTGTTTATCTTTTTTTTTTTTTACTAATTTTTAGGAGTTCTTTCTGTATGCTGGATATAAGTCCTTTGTCTTATATGTGCATTATGAATATCTTTTCTCAGTTTATCAACCTTTTCCTTTATGTGTCCTTAGCCCTTTTTGTGTTCTGTTGAAGAAATCTGACCTCCTGGGATTGTGTCTGGAGAGTGCTTAGTATTCTGCCAGCTTCACAAAGTGAGGGAAAGCAAGCCTGGCAAGGCACCCTTTCCATTCCCACCTTGCTCAGTAGCTGGTGATTGGAAGGCACTCTGTGACAGTGTTCAGTCCTTGGGCAGGAAAACCTCCTTTAAGGATTTTTCTTTTTTAACTGGATCTGCTTCTTTTCTAAAGAAAAAAAAAAAAAAGATAATTAAAAAAAAACCCAATTCTTTGCCTATTCCAAGTTCATAACAATTTTCCCATAATTTTTTTCTAAAAGCTTAATTGTTTCACCTTTCCCATTAGATCTGCAATCCGTCTGAAATTGATATTTTTGTGTATGCTGTGAAGTAATGATTCTAGGTACATTTTTTTTTCTTCTGTGGATAATCAATTGATCTAACACCATTTACCAAAAAAGCTCATTCTTGGGCCAGGCACAGTGGCTCATGCCTGTAATCCTAGAACTTTGGGAGGTTGAAGCTAGTGGATCACTTGAGGCCAGGAGTTTGAGACCAGCCTGGCCAGCATGATGAAACTCCATTTCTACTAAAAATACAGAAATCGTAAAAAGAAAAAAAGATAAAATAAGAAATATATAGCTCAGTAATTTCACAGAAAAATAAAAAAAAAATAAGAAATACAAAAATCAGCCACGAATTGTGGTGTATGCCTGTAATCCCAGCTACCTGGGAGGCTGAAGCACAATAATTGCTTGAAGCCAGGAGGCGGGGGTTACAGGGAGCTGAGATCGCACCACTGCACTCTAGCCCAGGTGACAGACTGAGACCCTATCTCAAAAAAAAAAAAAAAAAAAAAAAGGAGAAAGTCATTTTTACTGTACTATAGTGTTACCTTCCTCATAAGGCACATTACCATTATTTGTGGGTCTGTTTCCACACTCTCTATTCTATTGGTCATTTTTGTATCCTGCAGTAGTACCACACTGTGCTAATTTTTATTGTAATTATTCTTGATAATTTGGAAGTGTAAGTCAATCAGCTTGTTGTTCTTCAGGACTGCCTTGGCTGTCCTTGGTCCTTTGTTTTGTTTGTTTCGTTTGTTTTTTGAGACAGAGTTTCACTCTTATTGCCCAGGCTGCAGTATAATGGCATGATCTCAGCTCACTCAACCTCCGCCTCCTGGGGTTCAAGTGATTCTCCTGCCTCAGCCCCCTGAATAGCTGGGATTACAGGCATGCAGAGATGGGTTTTCTCTCTGTTGGTCAGGCTGATTTCAAATGCTCGACCTCGGGTGATCCACCTACCTTGGCCTCCCAAAGTGCTGGGATTACAGGTGTGAGCCTCCTCGCTTAGTGGTCCTTTGTATTTCCATATGAATTTTAGAGTTAGTTTGTCAACTTCTGCTAAGCAAACCCCTGTTGGGATTTTGATTGGTTTGCATTGAATCTATAGATTAATTTGGGAGAACTAACAAACCATATGTAGTCATTCAGTTCATGAAGGTAATGTGTCCTTCCATTTATTTAGTTTTTTTTGTTTTTTTTTTTTTTTTCCTTGCTCTGTTGCAGGTACCAGGCTGGAGTGCAGTGGTGCAGTCTCGGGTCACTGCAACCTCTGCTTCCCAGGTTCAAGCAGTTCTCCTGCTTCAGCCTCCCAAGTAGCTGGGACTATAGGTGCATGCCACCACACGCATCTATAGTTTTTTTTTTTAATTAGATACAGGGTCTCACTATGTTTCTCAGGCTGGTCTTGAACTTCTGGACTTAAGTGATCTTCCTGCCTCAGTCTCCCAAAGTGCTGGTATTATAGGCTTGAGACACTATGCCTGGCCTATTTAGATCTTTAAATTTTTTTTTTCTGTAAGTCTGTAGGTTTTCTTGTAGTGGTCTTATGTATCTTTTATTAATTTTCTTCCCCTCTAAATATTTGATGTACTTTTGATGCAATAGTAAATAGTATTACTATATTTTAAAGGTCTCATTTTTATAAAATAAACAATTTCAATAAAACCTGTAGTACTCAGCATTTCCAGCTTTAATTTCTTTGCTGTAATAGCTTGCTTATGAATAATTCAGGAAAGAATTTCATGTGCAGTGCTTTTTCTTTAATCTTACTCATAATCCTTTTAAAATTCCAGTTGAAGCAGCTAATTTATCAGCAGTTACACTTAAGTATTTTTAAAACAAAACTTTATTTTTCGATTATTTAAAAAAATAAATCTTATTTCAACTAAGGAAATCTTATGCTCTAGAGAATATTTCTTCTCTTGTACGTTTTTCATTTAGTGCCCCTTAAAAGGTAATTCCTTTTTTATTTCAGTATTTCATAGAATGTAGCAAATACTCTTAACTGGCACATTGAAAGAAAACTTGTATCTTACTTTCCAGAAAATCTCTCATGTTCTATAATTTATAATAATATTTGTCTTTCAAATCTTAATATTTAATATATATTTTAATATATATTTTATAACAGTATTTGCTGACAAAGGAATGCAGTTAAAAAATATTGCTTTCTTTGTACTATTTAATCTACTTTATTACTGTAGCAAGAAAGAATAAATGTTTCATTAATAATATGTGCCTTTTGTTTTTCATTATTAAGGACATGTATAAAGAGAATTCTTAGCACCTGATTGAATATTTTCAGACTTTAAACACTACAGAAAAATTATAAAAGTTTATCTTCAGGTATAATTTTTAGATGTGTTTTTTTATCATGATAGCTTTACTTTATCATTATTTAATGTAACAGTCAACAAGTTATGCCTGCTTCTATAAATAAAGTTTTACTGGAGCACAACCACATTCATTTGATTACATATTGTCTGTGATGACTTTTGTACTACAGTGGCAGGGTTAATTAGTTATAATAGAGGCTGTAAAATATTAACTATCTGGCCCTTTACAGAAAATGTTTGCTGACCTCTGATTTAATATATCAAGGCCCAGTAAGGATTCAGTTCATTGTTAATAATAAATTTAAATCCATTCAGTATTCTAAGTATCTTTTGGTAGTTTTGAATTTTTTTTTGCCAACTTATTGTTTGAACCAGTTAAATTATTTTCACCCTGTAATATATCTTACAGAGAGCTTGTATTAGGTATAGAAGGGTCAGCCTTGTCACTTAGTATTTATTTTTGTTTGTAATTTGGATATTATCTTCAACCTATGGGAGTTGTTTTTCATATTCATTTACTTATTTTCAAACATCCTTTAAGATAATTTATGTGGTAAAATTTGATTTAGTTGAGAAAAAAAATAAGCCATAATTTATAAGTACCTTGAAAGCAAATGAGTGACTGCAGACACTGATGTTCTTCCTTGCACACTGTGGAGCTTCCATTTCTATTCTCAGGATAACTCATATGTGGTAAGTGATACAGAAATACATGACCTACAGACCCAGAGAGGGCACCATTGTGAGTCTGTACAGTTAACATTGGTAAAGCATAATTCTTATATTTTAAGATTAGAAACAATTATGAAATAAGAGTTTGAGTTTTTCTTTCTGTACTTCATTGGAAAGTCTTATACATTCCACTTTGGAGACCACTGTCTTAATACATACTGTTTGTGTAAATTCTTTCAGAATTCTGAATGTAGGCATAATCCCTGATTATAAATAAAATGTTGTAGTAGCATAAGAGTTGAGCTTTAAGTCCAGCAAATACTTTATGTGGATATTACTGTCAGCAGCTGCAATTAGAGAATCTGTGGGCCAAGCAAAGCCTTACTCAGATGCTTTACCTGTTTTTGTCCTGTGTGGACAGTCATCTTTCTTCCAATAAAATTTTGTATGTGCAGCTAATTAAATCGATAACTTAACTTTAGGATGCAGGATAGAGGACTGTGTCTTCCTGCCAATGTGTAACCTACCAGAACCACCTCAGTGAGGAAGGCTACCACCTAAAAGGCCTCAATAGGTAGCGATTTACTTGAGGGAGTTGACAGATGCTTAAGTATGGAATCATACTGTCTGGGTTCAGATTCTGGGCTCCTCCTGTTATAAGTTGTGTATTCCTAGGCAAGTTCATTTAACCACTTTGTGCCTCAGCTTCCTCTTATGTTAAATAGGGAGAATGGTATCTAACTTTTAAGGTTGTTATGAAAAACTAGTTAATCCATATTAAGTGCTTAGTATACTATCTAGCACATATGAAGAGCTCAATGAACGTTTATTTTTAGTTAACTTTCTGGCAGTTTAGATTTGGTCAGTTCACTGAGAACATTTATCTTTGAACAGACTCATATTAACCAACTTCATGAGGCTGATGTGGTAAAACTATAATGCCAATTTTTAAGTCTACCTCAGGAAGTAGAACTGTCACATGTACTGTATTCCCTGTGTTGTTAATGACCAGTACATTTTCAACCTTTGGATGACACTGTGGAACACAAACATCCTAATCATGAAGGTTATGTTGAACATAGGGTCTAAATTAGGGACATTCATTAGCTGAATCCAGTGTTTTGTGTATAATGCCAAAGTGGCTAAAGTAAATATTTATTACCCTTTCCTGTTTTTAAGGAATTTCTTTACCTAAAATGCCAGCTATTTACTTGTAAGCTTTTTCAAAGTTTGCCCTAGGCTCTTTTGGTCTTCTCTACTCACCATGGTCTTTGTCTCTGAAGAGTTTGTGATGCAGAGAAGCAGGGTACAGTGATGGTGGTGCAGGTAGCAAATTGAGTTCCTGGGGCAGAAGTGCCAGTTATAGTGTCTAGAGATAGTGGAGGTTGGCAGTGGAAACAGGTGACCTGATCAGACTAGTTTGTTACCTGGTTTTAGGCATTGTTCTTGGCATTGATCCCTGGTTTTTCACTTCTCTTTAAGTCTGAGTTACTCTTTTGATAAGTTCTTTTTCTCCCCAAACTAGGTAGAATCAGTTGGTTTGCTAAATTTGCAATCTAAGTTGTTCTTGCAACTAAGAACCCTGATAATATAGCAGCTACAACCGCCTGATGCGTTTGTCTTGCAGTACAGATAGAAAGGTCATGGAAAAGCAACTGAAATATTTGAACTTTGTTGGCTTCTTCTCCTCTTGAGGGTGTTAGGATCACCCTATTCCCAGGGCCTAGATTTGTGCCTGGCATACAGTAAATGCTTAGTAAACCTTTGTGGAATAAATGAATGACGGGTACTCCCAATACGTATCTG